CCGTGGAACCGGTTTGATCGGTCCGGGTATTCACGCTTAAGTAACTCTCGTAGCTGCCAACCGTGAGTTCGTTGAATCCTTCGCTGCGTCCTCCATCTGTGCTGAGATGATTCTTCGAAAAAAGGAACCGAAAGATCGTACGGAAAGAAAACCGGAAAAACTTGCTTGCCGTTTGGCGAGATCATAAATCGCGAGAAAAATTTGCACGGCTTCTATGTGAACGAACATCGAACGAGAAACGATCTCTGAGTTCTGATTACCAATCTCCACTCTTCTTCGACAAGCTTTCAGTGCTCTGTAGAAACGATTCTTATCTTTATATTTTCTTTATCTTGTTCTTCTTTTGTTTTTTTTTTTTTTTTTTTTTTTTTTTTTTTATTTTTTAAACTCGCATTGCTTTTATTTATAACGTGCCACGATATAACGACTCCGAAGAAACAAGCAGATATATTTATGATTGTATCTTTTTACAAATTTTTTATTTTCATTTAGTAGCCGTATAATTATTTATTAATTCATCATCCGAAGATTAATGTTCATTAAATATAAATTAATTAAATATATAAGTTTTACGTTACATACAATTTTCTTTCCTTTTTTTCTTTCTTTCTTGTCTTTTTTTTTTCCTTCTTTTTTTTGTTTGTTTGTTTGTAAACACGAACAAAAACTGGGTTATTGAGGGTCGTATCTTAGTTCCTTTTTTTTTTTTTTTAATTTACGCGATCGTAAATATAAAAAGTTGATTTTGCTTGTTAATTTACGATTTTTGTTGTTACATTACTTTTATCAATTCCTACTTAGTCGTAGATCTTCGTTTTAATACGATAAATTTACTTTCCATCTCTATTTCTCATACATCGATGCTCTCAATGCACTCCATGGACATTTAACGCATCAACCATGCGTAAATATCGCGAACGAGATTCACTCTATTCAGTGAATAACACGGGATTGGTGAGTGTGGCTAATAATTCGCGTTCACCGAGCTCAGTGCCCGATGTTCAGACCTCACCGTGGACAAACAGATTTGCAGGTAATAATTTCCCGTGGGGTGGCATGCGTAACTCTTACGCCGTGTGCACACTGTCTCAACGGTAAACGGACAATAGCATAGAAAGTGGAGTTACATGATACGTCGGAAGAGAGATGCGATGTATGTGAGAGAATGAGAGAGAGAGCGAGAGAGAGAGAGAGAGAGAGAGAGAGAGAGAGAGAAAGCAAAGAGGGAGTGAAAAGATGAAGATAGAGAGAAGGCAAGAGAAAGCAAACAGAGGGTAAATGTTTCGCATCCTTGTTTAATTACTACTTACCACTCTGCCTAGATAGCATACCAGATGGAAATAGAGGAAGATAGAGATATAGTTAGAGAGAGGGAGAGAGAGAGAGAGAAGATCGAAGAAACGAGAGGAGACACTAGAATCACGTGGAATACACTTGAGAAGAGAAGGGAAGAGGATCCCGTTAAGCTGAAAGGCATTTCGAAGGAGAAAACCCCTCGAAATTCCTATCAGAATTGGAACCGAGCGTATCCTAATGAATGCCGATGAGGTCGTAGACAACGAGGAGAGTATACTATGATCATGAAATGTACATATAGTAGATCGTATAAGATCGAAATACGATCAGAAATGATTTTCATTGATTGAAGAAGAAATATTTTTTGATGATATTATTTTTTCGTTAAAAATTTTCACTTGTTTCCTTCTATTTTACATTTTTCCTTCTCGTATTATCCTAATGAATTTCACCAAGTCATTTTCCAGAAGATACGTTTCTGGCGTGTAATAGGATTACAGGTTGAGCCGCCACGTGTTTCGCGGACGGTAAAGTTGGTAATTCTATCAGGATTGTGGTACCTCCCCCTCTCTTTCCCTCTCTACCCTCTCTCTCTCTCTCTCTCTCTCTCTCTCTCTTTTTCTATCTTTCTTTTTCTTTTCTTACTTGACCTCTCTATGTTGATGCAGCTTCTCTAATTAATACCGATAAGGACGATAAGGTCGATTGATGCAGCAGTGCGGAAAGCTTAGATGGGACATGTTTACACTCGAGAAGCTGTAAAAAAAACAGCGTCCACGAGAAAAGAAAAGAAAAAGAGAGAGAGAGAGAGAGAGAGAAATTTCATTTATTTAGAATATTATGATAAAGTTAATATATTTTAAGTTTGCATCGCTATAGTTTGAATATAGTTGCTATAAAAAAAAAAAAAAAAGAAAAAAGAAATAGTGTAAACTTTGTTAAATCATGCAAAAAAAAAAGTAACTATTATTTTTTGATTAATTATTGTGCAAAATAATCGCAATCCCGTATTCTCGTAGGTTTTTAAGTTGATGGAAAAATTTACTTTGGTCTAAGCTTTTCGATCGATTGATAGCGGGACGGTAAATGGGACGATGTTGCGTCGTAAAAATAACTGGAATTTACGTGTACCATAGTAGCAAATAAATTTTCACGAAGATACTTACCGTACTTGGGCGTGTTTCCTTTTATTCCATTTTGAAAAATAACCGAATGACATAATCGTAAGTAATAAATTCTTGATTATTTTAAATTAGAACGAATGAAATGAAATAAAACAATAAAATATCTAATAGAAAATATATTTTCCAATGATTCTTATCCTTTTATTTTTTTCATGAAACGTCGTCGAATAGTGTAGAAAGGAAAGCGAACAAATATGAAATACGTAAAAGAAAAAGAAAATAAGGAGAATTAGTTGGAAAATCAGCATAGCTTTTCCAACTTAGAAACTCGCGAAAGGTTGGTAAAAGCTCGTCGCAATCGTCGTCGTCGTCGTCGTCGTCGTCGTCTTTGTCGTTGTTGTTGTCGTCGTCGTCGTCAGTTAATTAGATTCGTACTCATGGCGTAACAATGACGACATTAAATGCCGCTAAACCGCAAACTCGCGAAACTACACCATTGGTACCGAACCGTTGAGTTTCTTGCGTAGAATCCTTAATTAGAGCGGTGAAGATCTATTTCCGTAACCTTTTCGGCAGTGGAATCTAACCGGTAGAAAAGGAAGCTTGCGCCGTAAGTAGAAGCTCGTTCATTAAAGCTACGACTCAAAAGAAAAAGCCGTTCGATAATCAGTTTTCGTTAGTGGCAGACATCTACCACTCCGCTTTTCGTTCTTCCTGTTTTTCCCTTAGCGCTTAAGTCCCAAGGCTTCTCGAGATTTATCTTGGGATAGTAATCAGAGTTACCAGTACGTTTAATGTCCTTCTCCTTCTTCTTCTTCTTCTTCTTCTTATTCTTCTTCTTCTTATTCTTCTTCTTCTTATTCTTCTTCTTCTTATTCTTTTTCTTCTTTTTTCTCCTTCGCATCGGCTTACCTTTATGGATGGCATTGTTCTTGGACAAGTTCAGAATAAAAAATGTCTAGTTGTCAACGAGAAAGCATTTCTAATTACGAGTGACGCTCGATCGAAAATCAAAATATAGAAACCATCGAGATTACATACAACGTTAAAAATAACTTGATATGAGGATAAATAATTTATAGATTGTTTCGTAATGTAATTTGATAAGGAAGATATTGTTTAATTTTAACCACTCATTCGATAATCATCAATATATATATATATTGATATATATATATATATATATATATATATATATATATATGCATATATATCATAAATAACAATTCTCCCTTTAAAGGCATCAATTACGCTGAAGAATATAAAGACTGAATTTTAAATTTGTCGACCTAAATATACAGAATGCATTCACGTCAAACGAACGCTTTTGTCTCTTCTAACTAACGAAATGATTTCAGAGTGACGTATCTCGACAGATTTTTCTCTCGTCTTTCTGTTAATAACTTTTTCTGTAAAAAAAAAAAAAAAAAAAAAAAAAGAAAAAGAAGAAAAAAAGAAAAAGGAAAAAAAAAGAGAAGAGAAAAGAGAAAAAAAGAAAGAAAGAGAAAAAATGAAATAGAGAAAACGTAACGTAACGATATCGACATTGTCGCGAGATAATACAAGTACCACCGTAAGTGACTTATATAACAGTATGCGAATTTCTGTTTGGTGTCGCCTGCACTTACGGTTTGTGCGAAGCTCGTATCGATAACAGACTTTCGTGGAACTCTCGCTCGAGACTTGTAATTAAATTCGATAAGACCGATTTCCGTGGAATAGTTATACGCTACTCGTATTTGTATACAAGATAAAAGCTGAAAAGAGAGTGATTTTCTTTCTGTCTCTTTTTCTCTCTCTCTCTCTCTCTCTCTCTCTCTCTTTCATTTATTTCTTGCAAAAAAGTAAAAAAAATTGTAGAATTATCAAAAAGATTATCAAAGTAAAATAGGTATAATATTATACGCGAATTTCCATCGATATACTTGATCAAGAAAGAAAGTAAGAGTCCGAAGTCTCTCTTTCTCTTTTTATCTCATACTTTTTCATTTTTCTTTCGTCTCTTTCTATCTTTCTCATGGAAAAGAAAATTTTAAAGTTGCGCCATCCTATTGGCCTAGAATCATAACGAGAAGAGAAGATTTTCAATCGTTAACAGCCCCTTCTCTACTCCGTTAAGGCGGCTACCGAAGGTGAATTAATTTTAAACAAGATTCGAAAGTTTGAAGAGAAAGCTTCTCGATGAAACTCGAGGCCTCCGAGCTCTTCCAAAGGCTGTCAAGAAGAAGAGGTGCTTGGAAAACGCTCCAGGCCGGATAAACGTTAGCGGTACTAACGGTGCGGACCGATCGATCGATACCACCCTCTGTATCCTCATCTCCGTCATTCCAAGTTCTCTCCTCCTTCACGTTTCAACATTTTCTCCACGAGATCGCAAATACGTTTCGATAATGTTATACGCCTGTTACAGCTTTTGAAGTCCGTCTTTTACATTATAAGCCGGTGAGAGAGAGAAAGAGAGAGGGAGGTGAGAGAGAGAGAGAGAGAGAGAGAGAGAGAAAGATAGAAGGTGATCGGTCCTGTAATCGACACTAACCCTTCATCGATCCGATATTTATCTTTGGAAAATCTTTGATGTAGATCACGTGGATCGACGGGCGAGGCAACGTGCAACATAGAGGTATAGAAACCACCAAGGAACTCTTCGATGGTGGCCCTTTGTATACGGTGAAGTCGGTTCTGAAAGTGATGCCACGTAAGGAGCACGACAATACCACCTTCACGTGCCAAAGTCAAAACGCGGCCGATCGGACGCCGCAAAGTGCCAAGTTACGTGTCGAGGTAAGTCGAAAATTTCTATGGTAGAAATTTAGTTGTTAATAAAGAGATTTTTATTTTACACCAAGAGAACCGCTAGAGTAGTAAGGTTAAAATCCAAACGGGAAAGGAAAAAGCACTGCACGGCTTTTCGTACGCTTGCTTCAGGGCAAAGTTAACACGACCTTCTTGTTGAATGCAAGCCGGCCAGCATTAACGAGGCGAAGAATAATTAACGTCGTTTCTTGAGAAGTGGTCCGCGTTATAATCGTCTACTGCCGGCGGCGTAACTTTTTACCTTTTGACTACGTATTTCGTTCCTTCTTTTACATTTCCTTTCGTTACCATTTTATGTCTTCTTTTCTCTCTCTCTCTCTCTCTCTCTCTCTCTCTCTCTCTCTCTCTGTCTCTCTCTCTGTCTCTCTCTCTCTCTCTGTCTTTCTCTCTGTCTTTCTCTTTCTTTTTCTTTCCATTTTCTTGGACAATAGATTGATTAGAAGTACAAACTTTATGAACCTTTCTCTTATAATACTGTGTACTTAATAATAATAATAATAATATAAGAATAAACAATATTATAATATTATTACATAATCTTTAGATGATCATAATTTTTCAATCGATTAACTCATGGTACTAATGATTAAGTTCGATTAAAAATTATTGAAAAATATTTCATTAATTTGATCTCTCGAGAAGAAAAATAGATTTAATCATGATGTTGTAAGAATATTGATAGACGTTTGCATATTATTGAGAGAAATCTTCTTGCTCGTCGTTTTATACAAATACGAAATATCGTTGTAAGCAGGAGAGAGAGAGAGAGAGAGAGAGAGAGAGGGAGAAGAGTTAAAAGAATGAGTACTGTCGCGAACCCCAAGGAAATACTTTTTTCTCGGAAGAGCGAAATTACTTTCTTTCGTGTGTCGTCGTCAAAATTTATGTACGATAAAATCGTAAGGGTGAACTTTTGAAAATTTTCTACGTAGTCTAGAAGGTCTTGTTCCGTGTAAGAAAGAAAGGCTTTCTTTCTTTCTTACTTTCATTCTTTCTTTCATTCTATCTTTCTCTTTCTCTCGCGAAACAAATCTCTCGTAAAGTTTCTGATCCTAGAGATAGTACCACAATTCGTATCACTTTTCCATAGATAGATATATGTAAGTATGATAGTTGCAGCGCTAAAAGTTTTCTCGAATATTCGTATCGAAAGGCGATACCTGTGAAACAAAATCGTTCGAGCCTGACCTATTGTTTACGATCTACTTTAAACCAAATATGTTACATTCGCCTTTAACGTTAAGTGAGACTCATGGATATACTCGAAATTCAACTCATATATATATATACATATATATGTATATGTATATGTATATGTATATATGTGTATATATATATATATATATATATATATATATATTTTATTGAATCAATCGATCGACTGAATAAAAAGAAAATTAACTCTTTTCACGAAATAAAAATAAATATTTTATTCGAAACAGTTATACGAAACGATAAAATAAAATCACCACCTTCCGATTGCCTCAGATTTGCATTGAGAGATAAAATAACATTCGAAATGTTCAATTTCTCTCTCTCTCTCTTCTCTCTTTCTCTTTCTCTTTCTTTCTTTTTCCTTTCTTTCCCTAGAAAGAGAACTCGATTTCGAGTAAAACGAGTCGAAAGTCACGAGTCCCATCTCGCGAAATCCCTTAATAAAATTCTTTTCACAAGTTCTACGTTGAATTGATTCTACGGTGTCACAACTTAAACACAGCAAACTAAAGCTGACTAAAACAAATATATTTTTAAAAATGAAGTAGAAATAAAATATCATATATATATATATATATATATATATATATATATATATATATATATATATATAAGTATGCAAAATTTCATAGTCAATTTAAAGTAACAAAAATTCTTATCGTTAAGTGAAAAATTAGGGAATAATAAAAGAAAAAAAAGAAAAAAAAATACAAAAAAGAAGAGAATAATAATAATATTAACAATAATAATAATAATGATAATAAATTGAATGAAATTATTTCAGGTACGTTACGCACCAAAGGTGTCACTAAAAATCCGTGGCTCTGGTGTATCGGATAAGAAACGTATCGTCGAGGGAACAGAGTTGAGGTTCAAATGTCGCGCCGAGGGCAATCCCCCGGATATGGAGTACAGGTGAGTGTGTTCGAGTCACAACGAGAGGTTGTACTACTCAGACATTTCTGGGCTCATGTGGGGAGCAACAACGTTGCTCTTATAGCAGGTCACGCTATAAGTCTGACAAAGACCGAGGCCAGAGAGCGCGAGAGAGAACGGATGATCGATATCCGTCTGCAAAGAGGACAATGTCAAATTCAGGACGTCGTCTGCGCGCGCAGAACGTGCGCGCGCTATCGCGTGCGTCCGCAGAACGATAGCCCGCGGCCTTCTTTCTCTTTCTCCCTCTGTTTTCCTCCCTCCCTCTCTCTCTCTCTCTCTCTCTTTCTCTTAAATTTATATATTTTTCTTAATCATTAATGACGTAGAAACGATGAAGAATTTTGAAAAAAATCAAAGTAAAGGATATAACACGCAAATTTTTTAATGACATTGTATTAAAAAAAAAAAAGAGAGAAAAAGGAAGAAAAAAATTAATTTGTTTAAAAAAAGTCATTTATAATATTAATTGCAATTGATTACAAAAAAAAAAAGATAATATCGAACGTTAAATATTGAAACAGAATTGTGTTGCGCATTAGTTTAAAATGCGGAACGTTCAATACCCATGTCAAGGCTCGTTTGACCTATATAATCGTTCAAGTTTTTAGGACACGTTTACGAAGAAACTCCCTTTTTTTTACAATAGTACGTTCTTTAGCTCGACACACCTCTTGCGTCCTGATTTCATTGTCTCTTGCGACGCGTCAATCCTCCTCTCCCTTTTTCGGATCTGAAAATTGTGATCGATAGTAATACCTCAACTCAGACATTTTTTAAAGGTTTCATAGGGTATCTTATTTATTCTTTTTCTTAAATATCACGACATTTTTCTAAAGAAAGGGATACTGACGTTTATATCCATAGTAACAAATATTTGTCTTCTTTTGTTCTCTAAGGAAAAAAAAAAAAAAAAGAAGGAATACCTTACACGGATGTAACTACTACTAAAAAGGATTACAACACCGCTTAGAAATTTCTTGTAACAAAGACGTATATTGTATCTACTTCACTTGGGGTAGATCAGTTCGGTCATGAATGAAAGCCGGTATAAGCGATCGGATTACCATTTTAAGGAAGTGAACTGAGCGATCGGATTACCGTCCCTTTTAACAAACCCTCCTGACAACTCTAAAAGATAAAAACGATCATTTTAAAGGATACGATTCGTTGAATTAGTTCGCAAATAAATTATCCGTTATACTAATATATTTTACGTTTTGCTGATAGCATATTCTCTAATTGCTACTTTATCTATCATCGATTATCATTGAATTCGTAAAAAGGGGTAATATTTTTTCCGTTGTCCACAAGATAATTCAATTACGTTCTTTTATAAATCTATAATCATCGTATTCGTAATGTCGAATCACATTAAGAAGGAAAAATTGATCATGTTCAAAAATAGAAAATATTTTTGGATTGGATCGTTTCGTTTACGTAGATTTTCGAATCACTATGGCTGTCAACTTCATCGTTTATCGGTCGCTCTTTTGGCTTTTAAGTCGTTCGCGGTACGAGTCCGATAAAATCGATCGCATTGTGGTTCTTGAGTGTATTGGTACACATCGAGATGTCGAATAGACACGTACCAGCTAAGTCGTCGAGTAGAGACTCCAGCTTCTATCCTTTATCGGAGTAACGGAGTACGATTCGAGAATGAGAGAGACAAATAGATTGAAGAAAAGAGAGAATGAATGAATAAGAGAGAAAGAAATAGAAGAGACTCGACTACGTCCAAGCCATTCCGTTTATTACCATTTGAAACGATGAGACGATTTTCTTGGCGATCGTATAAGGAGAACAAACGTCTTCCACTTGAAAATCTCGTTTTGTTCTTAACTCGTTCGTGCATTTTTCTTTTTCTTCATCTTCCTCTTCTTCTTCATCTTCCTCTTCTTCTTCATCTTCCTCTTCTTCTTTTTCTTCTTTTTCCTCATATTTTCTATAACGCTTTAAGATGATATTAAGAAAAAAAGAAGAAATAAATAAACGAAGCAATTGTCCTGTTAACACGAATTAATTCGAGGAGGAAAGAAATTTCTCGTGTTCGATTTGAGATAAAGAAACAGAAAAAAAAAAAAGGAAAAGAAAAAAAAGAAAAAATAAAAGACGAGTATACTTATCGTTATCGCTCACTCTTTTTCTTTCATCCTTTCAGGTGGTTTATCAACGAGAAAAAGGTCATCGGAGACTATACGACGGAAATGATCATTCACAACGCGACGCGGGATCTTCACGATGCGATCGTAAAGTGTGAAGTTCATAACGATGTCGGCAAAAGCGAAGAAACTGAAACGCTAGATATAACATGTGAGTATAATACGAATAAATCTATACGCGTATGAGTGTAATACACATAGATCATTTATATATATACATATATATATATATATATATGAGTGCACTCGCGCGCACTCGCGCGTGCGCGCACGTGTGTGTATGTGTATAATAAACATAACCAGGGCACACATATACACATACAAGCTTTCTTTTTACGTTTACGAGCGGAAACTTTAAATTCGACTCCGGAGACGAAATCATTTTTACCGCCGTGCCCGCTCGACGTACTCTAGAAATTACCTTAAGTAGTAAAAACGGGGACCTGTGCAGTAGCAACGGTTAAAAGAGAGAGAGAGAGAGAGAGAGAGAGAGAGAGAGAGAGAGAGAGAGAAAAGAAAGAGGAAAAGGAAAAAAATAAAAATAAAAATAAAAAAGAAAGAAAAAAAAAAAAAGAAGAAAGTCGTAAAGTTCGCACAGTATAAATGGAGAAATTATGAAAATTCACGCTGTAGTTTATACACGCGCAATTTAAAAAGAGTACCGTGAAATGGTTCGCATATCAAGCGAGTAATTGATAAAGTATTAATTTCTTTTCTTGATCGGAGAAATGATACGAATTTTTTGTTCTTACAGACGGACCACAATTTCGACATTCGCCAGCTTCCGTAGAAACACACTATGGTGCAACGGAAATCTTGCAGTGCGACGTCGATGGAAATCCCACACCCGAGATTCTATGGTTCCATGAGGATTCGGAACACGTGGTAGCCACAAGCCCAAATATAAGCGTTTTCGTCAGTCCTGAGACAGCAGGACGTTATTTTTGCAAGGCTCACGTACCAGGTTTTCCTTTACTGACGGGTTCCGCCAACATTTACATTCGTGGACCACCTAGCATAGTGTCACAAAGGATTCAGTACGTGCCAGACGAGGGAGTGGTCAAGGTAATTTTTATCCTTCAAAATTCTAGAATATCTCCTTTCATGTCTGTCTCCTTTGAGAGATCGTAAAATTTATTCAAAAAATAATAATAAAAATCTAAATGCGTTCGTTTTGTCAAATACAATTAATTTTTCAGATTTTCATTGAAATAATGTATTTATTATATTATTAAAAGGAAATCATAAATTAATAAGACATAATTGAAACCATTTTATTTTTGTCTGAAAAACTATTTAATCTAACTTACATATCGAATCGCTAGAATTTTCATATATCCCTGACGTACGAATTAAATCGTTTGTCATCGATAAAATAAAATTTAGGTTAGTATTCTGTGACGATAGATTTCTCAATGCTGTTCCGCTTTTTTTTTTTTCTTCTTACGTCAATGTAAAAAGTAAGACGAATGTCTTGTAACTTTTGTTTTGTCCTTAGTCTTTTTAAGCCCGATATCAATTCCTATCACTAATCCTCTGTCCTATCCTCTCTTTCCACCCCCGAAAACCCGTCCTAACTATGTCTCTTCTTCTTTTTTTTTTTTCTTTTTCTATCGTTTCTTCTCGTCGATTTCACAGGTAAAGTGCACTGCGATATCGGTGCCAAAAGCGGAATCCGTAGTATGGAGCTTCGCTGGTCGTGAGCTCAATTTCTCGTTGAACAATACGCCGTTCTACGTTCAGGAAGAATACACGCCGGAGAGGGTCGTCAGCACTGTCACATTGGTCGAACCAGTATCCACCTATTTCGGGGATTACAACTGTACGGTGACGAACAGTTACGGCACGGATTCTGTCATAATCAACCTGACAGCACACAGTAAGTTCATTTTATACTCGACCTCTTTCTACTCGCTAGTAACGTGACTCGTCGTATCCTATCTCACTCTGACATCGAGAATTTTATAAATCGTTGTAATAGAACGTTGTACTCTCTGGTCTTTTCTGAAAGCGTATTGGTAAGAGCGATTATTACCTTTTACAAGGACGGTTATATTAAAAACGCGATATCAACGATTCTCCACGTTAAAAAAGAACTTTTGAACGTTTCGGGGTTAAAGTTTGAACATTTCCGTGTACTCATTTATTCCTGGGGTTCACGGAACGATCACGGAACGGAGGTGGAAAAAAAAAGAAACAAAAAAATTGTAAAAAAAATTTTTAACAAAGAAAAAAGAAGTAGACACATAGAATATCATATGTTTGCGAGCTGACACGCAAGATTTTAACTAGGCGTGACGCTTAGCGTTGATTCCAGTCGATTTGCAACTGATTCTCATCATCGTTGGACTCGTTGTCTGCGTGATCCTGATTGGGATTATTGTTCTACTCATTCTACAATGTCGCGATCGTATTAAACAGCCACGACCGAGGACGGCACAAACACAAGAAACCGATATGCGTGAGTATTATTATTATTATTATTATTATTACATTAGATTACATTGCATTTTCTTTGCTAACTTCCTACATGGATATTTATATGAATATATGTATGTATATATATATATATATATATATATATATATATATATATATATATATTCGTTATAATGCAGAAGAAACGGACTCGAACGCGGATCGATATCGCGAGAGCGATAGAAGCAGCAATCTCTCGGATGTCAAAGCGGACATACGAGCTGGTTCGAGCGTTAGCAATGCGGAAAGCGTAACAGCACTTGACAGCGAGGGTGAAGGAAGCACTCGAGGAGTTAACGCGTTGGCACTTGCCGGGCCCGTTCCGAATCCCCTTGGCTTTCGTTATAGCGCAGATTACACGGAACCATCCTTTCCACCAAAAAATAATGTAAGTTATCGAAATATTTATAAAAAATTCAATTTCTCAAAGAAAATCACTGAATTACATTGTCTTTTCAATTATTCGTAGAATCAATGCTATTCAAAATCAGTCTTAATTATGTTCATTCATGTTCGAACAAGCAGAAACATTATCGATAGAACCCTTTGGTATGTAAATCGAACCCGGTCTAATTATTCGAACGCATTGACTCACGCGACATAGGACGGGAGCAACAATAACGGCTATGTGCCATACGTGGATTACACGCGGGACTACATGCCACCGACAACGCAAGGAATGGGAGCGTCACGGGAATCCTTGAGCAGGATACCGTCCGGCGGAATTCTCGCATCGAAGAAAATTGGACTGAGTTCGGCGAACTTGGGAACATCCACTCCACAAACAACGCCGGTCATCGATCCACGTTTTTCTGCGACCTATGGCAATCCTTATCTCAGGTAAAACTTGTGGAACTTTTCTTAAATCAACAAAAACTATTCCCGATATATTGGTTTTAAGTAAATTCTTTTCTATTATTATTGTCCTTTTCAATTGATCCTAAGAAAGTTCATCTATTGAGATTCGATTAAAAAATAAATAAATAAATAAATAAATAAATATATATATGTATATACATATATATATATAAAAACTATATATACATATAAAAACATACGTGTGTATCTATGTACATGTACATCAAACTTTTCTCTTCTTAACACTCTAGAGCACTTAAGCCGATAATGGAAGCGAACGTCTCCATAGTTAGAACAGGAAACCGATTAAGACAACGCGCTTGATAACGCTCGCGTAAAACTCTTGGCCAATATCAATTATGCAATATGCTCGTTCCTTAATGGACGCCGTGGTAAAGTTTATCCCGGTCATCGTATGCTCGTCGTCGTAGCTTTCTCACACCTAACCCAACAATATAATCTCATTATTTTGGGTAGAGTCGATAACTAATCGCAAGGATTATTACTCGTAACAGGATGTCAGCGGCTGAACAGCTGAGGCACGCGCCACACACGGCAGTGCCCGGAGTCACGCCAGCTCCTCCACCATATACTCAAGCAATGAGGATGAATAGCTTAAACACCTTGAATGGTGCTGGACCACAGGTGAGATCTCTTTAGAATTTATCTCTTTCATCCTCTGCGTTAACTCGTTAAACACATACGAACGTAGAAACGATATTCGCCTTTCCTTTTCAAGCTTATTTTATTATATTCTTCCTTCGTTCATTTCGTTCGTTATTATTTAACGAATATTACAAATTTATTTAATAATAATCATACGTATGTGTTCATATAATTATTAAATAACATTATTAAACAACGAATTATTAAAGGAACAACATCAAATATTTACGCGAGTTGAAAATTGCAATGTTTTATATTAAATGTAACAACACGTAGCCAAAAATTAGTTAGCGACAAAAGAATTATTAACAAAGTACATATAAGCTAATTTGACGAAACTTACGAATGTGTAACTCAGCACGTATACTCCTTTGAAATTTAATGCAATTAGAGAAAGAGAGAGAGAAAAAGAGTACGTCACTTCCAAACAACCAGTGACACGATCGTGAGTAACTTCTTTTTCTGGGCTCAGTAAGAAAAAAGGTTGAGACGAGTGAACGCGAGTCGCATAAAACAGACGATGGAGATGGTTTTCGTTCTCTCGCACGAATAATTCAATTCGATGGAAAGACCAACATTTACGTGAGCGCGTATACTCTTCCCTTTCCATTCATCTATCCTCTTTTTTTTTTTTTTTTTTTTTTTTTTTTTTTTTATTAAATTCAAAAGAAATACAAGAGAAAGAAATGCGTTATATTATACGAAAAGAAGAAAAAAACCACAGCTTCTATATTTTATAATCAATAAGATATAATCAATCACATACAAAGTATGTGTATCGAATCTACATAAATTATATATTTATTACAATTTTATTTATCATTTTGTTTTGTGTTTTCTCTCTCTCTCTCTCTCTCTCTCATTAAAAAAGAAAAAGAAAAAAAACCTTAATAAGAATTTCAAATGAATATTTACATATAAATTGAATGTAAATTGAAATGATATGTAAGTAAAACTACCGAAGAATATATTATATAAAATTGTATGGAGTATGATGAATGGTCCGGTATAACATCAAAATCTTTATTTTTACAGGCGCCATTGTCAGCGCATTATATAACCGGAGGGCCAAACGGTGGTGTGGCAACCGTAAAGCGTACTTCGGCAGTAGGAACATTAGCGACGCACGTATGAGGCCAGGGGGTCTATCCGAACTAGAACCATCGACGACGCACGGGAGGCGCCATCTTCGAAGCTCCTAGTCGTATCCGAGAGGAAGAAGCGTATCGAATGGATGAAGAATATCAAGAGCGTTGCTGTTTTCGTCAAATTTCATCGTTGGAACGTCGTCGACGTGAATTCGTCGGAAGAAAGATAGGATCATCCTTGAAAAATGAGATAAGGCGAGAACGAATGAAGCTGTTGGAGAACGGCGAGATGTTGGGCTACATCGATCTCGTTTTAAAGCAATTGAGAAAAGCTAGCAGAGATCATCGATTACTTGTCGAGCAACGTCATCTTCGTGACTCCCCGACGTTTGAACGTCATCGTTTCTTCGAAGCTCCAACTTCCTCGTCAGTTTATACGAGAGATTGGATAAAGAATAGAACAAGAAGGAGGGAGGAAATGCAGGAAGAACTCTTGGAATATCATCCACGAACAGCAACGAGATTGTTGACGAAAAGAAAGACGTACGTCGATCGAGAAGAAGAGAAAAGAGGTAGGACCTTCGGATACGGTAAAAGTAGAGGAGCTTTCGAGAGGATCGTCGAATCGAGCAGCTGTCGAGATCCAAATTACGTTCTCGATCAAGAAGGATTCGAGAGGAAACCTTTCGATCGGCAACTCTTCGACTGGACGGGTAGATCCTCGACCGGTACCTCGACCGTCGTTTGATCGTCGGACCAACGAAGATTTCGACCTGTAATCCTATCAGCCTTTTTTCTTCGTTCTTCGTCGTCCTTCGGCGAAAGAAATCGTTGACGAAAGAGAAAGGAAAAAAGAGAAAAATAGAGAGAGAGAGAGAGAGAGGAAGAAGGTAGAGATAAAGGGAAAGAGACAAGCGTACGTAACAGAGGCGATACGAAGATTTCACCTACGTTGAAAATCGATGCTTCTCGATCGACCATCGAAGGTAAAATTCTCGATTCGAATTTCTCAAAAGAATTTCAAGCGACGTTCGTTTCTCTCAACGATTTTTATCAAGAGAACGTTTCTCAAAGTTAAACGAACTAATACGTTCTCTCTTATTTCTCTTTTCAAATACGAGACGAATAAGAAAAAAGAAGAAGAGGATCAAAAAGAAAGAAGAAAGAAGAAGAAGAAATATAATGCTCGAAATACGCTAACGTAAGGATAATGGCTTATGAACGATGGTTACGTTCGGATTTATATATCGAAGAATAGATTATTCTTCGATATGGAAAACAGACCACTCGGTATCGACAATCCACTACTGACATATTTTAGATCTCGATAAGCATTTAAACGATTCGTTCGAACTGACGAAATTCTCGTCGAGATGACGTGGAGATGATAACGTCGAGATAACAATCGAGGAACGAGAATACGTCGATTTCATGTGCTCTTTCTCTCTTGAGCATTCCTAGAACTAATTAGCGGAAAGAGAGCATTGTACTGCGATTCGTGAAAAAAAAGAGAGAGAGAGAGAGAGAGAGAGAGAGAAAAAAAAGAAACAAAAACAAAAAAAGATAGTAAAAAGAAAAATAATGTGACTCCGTATACTTCGTCGTTCGGTGCGTTTACGATCTGCCAGATATATATATATATATATATATACTATTATATAAATATATATACAAATATTTTTTTTTCTTTTCATTTCATTTTGTTTTGTTATTTTCTAAATCGAGCGTTCTTTCGAATCGAAGCCGATTAAATTTACGTTTAATGTTCACGCGCGGATCACAAATACTGACAACAAAAAAAAAAAAAAAAGGAAAAAAGAAAGAAAGAAAGAAAGAAAAAAATTTCAATGGAACGCGCTTTTCCTCCGTTTTCGATTTAAATAGTCGACGGACTAATGGAATTTTGAATCCGCCCTCCCGCCCCCCACCCCCACATAGCAAGGGAAAGGATTAATATCAATCGGACTATTTCTGTTTTTGTTCTCTTTATGATTTTTTGTCCTTTTCCTTTTTTCTCTTCTTTTTTTTTTTGCTTTTTTTTTTTGCTTTTTTTTTTTCTTTTTTTCCCTCAACCTTCTTTTTCAACGTTATCCGTAGAGAGGGAAAACAGATGGCAAAGGAATAAACGGAAAGTGCAATATATAGGATCGGTTCTCGCATGGGATTTTGATATTGCAATAAAAACCCTTCCTCCTCTACTTTCCCTCCCTTCCCTCACTTCCCTCCTTCCGCCAACAACTCCCGAAAACCGAAAACGAAGATTGAAAATAGATATTGGTATCTCTTTCCGTAACCCCCGAAGTATTCAAAATACGGGTCGCGTTTATAAAATTAGATAGCACAAACTGGTTAGACGTATTATTACGATATTATACATATATACATATGCATCCTTTGTCAATACGAATCCTAGGGCCTATATAGGTTTCTTTGATGGCGCTAAAAAAAAAAGGAGAGAAAAAAAAATGGCAAAACTCTATTTGAAATAAGCACGTTTGTAATTGGCGAACGGCTTCCTGTAAATATATTCCTCGAGTAAGGATAATAACAATAACGATAGTAATAGATAAAATAATAATAATAATAATAATAATAATAATAATAATAATAATAATAATAATAATAATAATAATAATAACAATAATAATAATGATAATAATAATAATAATAATAATAATAATAATAATAATAATAATATTAATAGCGATATAAAATTATAAATGACGAAAAGCAATTAACGCTTTTCGACAAAAAATACAATTTTATCTTGAATTTCGAAACTCGTTCCTTGCTTGCTTTCTCTCGACGTTTATATCGTATTTCTACATTGAAGCGATTGCGAATTCGTAACTCGTTCACGAGGATAAAAGAGAAATAAACGATCAAATCAAATTCAAAGTGAAAAGAAATATATATATATATGTATATATATGTATATATATGTATATATATATATATATATATATATATGTACACACAAAATTTTTTACGAATGTGTCGTTCCTCGTCGATGATCTACGTTAAGGTTGATCCTTAAAGCATAGCAAACGATACATCCGTTGATAAAGCCGTTGAAATAAATAAAAAGATAACGAAACAGGGTAGCCTATCAATTATTAAAAGACGTTGATCCGTGGAAAGGCTGCGCTTTAGGGATCAGACCATCGCAGATTCGCTTTGAACATCGACGGAAGTATCGTTGAAAAAGCATGAATACTCAAACACGAGGTTTACTGTCGTGTATTTTGTTTTTTAATTTTTTCCTTTTTCTTTTTTTTTTTTTTTTAATCTTTTTCTTTTTTTCTTTATTTCTTTTTTTTTTCTCTTCTTAAATCTTTTTCGAGATAACGAACGATATACGATTATGGATCGAATACGTTTGAATCTTCTTGATAGATATGTTTATATATAAATATATACACATGCATATACACGTACACGATAAAACCTACATATGTATATACATATACATATTTACGTATCATTCTAACAAAGCGTGTAATATACTTTTGTGTAAATAAAAACGACTCTTGACGTCGCTCGGCGTATCTCTTAAGGTCTTTAGTTAGTTTTATAACTGTGAATCATTATGTGCATATCTCGCTCTTAAATACATACATAAATTGCGAACGATTTACGCGATCGTGTCGATCATTCTCGAGCAATAAGATTAAAGAACGTTTAGATCTTCATTATTCTACATCTTCGATGCCGGGTGCATCGAATTTTTGAACAATGTATGTATACTATATAAATATATATTCCCTGTATAATATATATATATATATATATATATATATATATATGTGTATATATAAATATACTTATACACAGGGATATATACTTACGTACACGTAAACACAATCATTTCTTAAGTTCGAGATTCGTCTCGATTCGTGAATCGTCGCGTCTATTGTAAATCGAATGAAATCATTATACTGTACATTTCTCATGATGCCCCGATGTTACTGTTAACTACTTAAGATTTCGAAAATCTTTATCTTAAGCGCGCAGAAAAAAAAAAAAGTAAATAAATAAATAAAGAAGTCGCGTGCGCGATCGCGTTTACGGTCGCTCGTTTTCTCTCTCTTTGTTTTTTCTGTCTCTACTGTAATCTCTCTCTTTCTCTCTCTCTCTCTCTCTCTCTCTTTCTCTTTTTATCTTTCTCTCTCTCTCTTTCTCTCTCTCTCTCTCTCTCTCTCTCTCTCTCTCTCTCCTCTCTTTAACGAGAGAAGCGGAGAGATCGACGAACGTACGCGTGCGCGCGCGCGTCCGTGCTTTTGTTATATATAATTATGTACATGGAGGTATTTTAATGATTACGATGCGATCGATAAGAGACGAATTTGTACGTTTTTTCTTTCATTCTTTCTTTTTTTTTTTTCTTTTTTTTTTTTTTTTTTTCCTTTTCTATTAAACAGTAACGATAATAACATTATATAATTTCAATTCTCAATCTTCTTATCGAGCTTATCGTAATGATATACTCCGTATGTAAAATGCTTAAATGGAATTTCGAGATGTATAGAGAGATTCGAATACACACATTAAGAAATTCACCGTGTATGTATATTCAACGAATGAAAGAGATATACGAAAGAACGTAAGAAAAAAGAACGAGTGTTCTGTGTGTTGTATGCATTTTTCTTTTCTTTTTTTTCTTTTTTTTTTTTCTTTTTTTTTTTTTTTTTCTTTTTCTCGCATTGAGTTTGCACGTGAACACGTGTTAGAATACATGCGCGCGCACGCGTCTTTCTGTGCGTATATGTGTGTATGTACGTGTGTAATGTGTGCATAGAGAAAGGATTTACGTATATACATACATATATATATATATATGTATATGTATACATATACATATATATATATATGTACGTATGTATATATATGTATATATATTCACATAGTCAAACACCATTTCTATCGTAAATAAAAGAACAAGGGAGATGATAAAAAAAGAAAGGAGAAACGTAGGTTAATAAAGTATACTGCGATAAGTAATTAACAATCAATGTAAAGTGGGTGGTACGTGGCGATGTTAAAATTAGAAAAGTTTATGTCGTTTGAATCATAGAAGTTTACGCCTTCTTGCCACGGTTATCACCCTGATACGTATTAATTGTTTATCGGTCAATTATTAATTAAATTGTATATCGATTTCTTCGCCTTTAGTCAGAGAAGAAGATAAAGAAGAAAAAGGAGAGAAAGAGAGAAAGAGAGAAAGAGAGAGAGAGAGAGAGAGAAAAAAGAGAAAGAGAAAGAGAGAGAAAGGGAGAAAGAGAGAATAAAAATAAAGAAAGGCTTCCGCAAAGTTTCCTTCTAAACATTTAAACAGACGATCTCATTAGTTTATTAACAAAAGAAAAAAAAATTGCATTCATTTCTTTAAAGAGAAAAAAATGGAGAGATGGAGAAAAAGAGAGAAATAGAGAGAGAGAGAGAGAGAGAGAGAGAGAGAGAGGGAAATAGAAATTATTATACTATGTCACAAAGTGATCGGATCGTTAATACGACTTATTAGTCATAAATTATTATTAAAAAAAATAATTATCTCTAATAATACTCATTTTGGAAGTGGTTGTTAAAATTTGTATTAGTAGAAAGAATATGTATAAAAAGAAAACTTTGCGCAGGCCAATTTATGCTGTTTTAAAGGCAAAACTCCTAGGCAATCTAATGACTAATTAAGGTTCGCTAAAGAAGAAGAGAGAAGTGGATAAATGGTAATTAAAAGTGTGTCTACTTGTGCGAACGTGGAAGTGGTTTTTCAAATTTGTTGATACTTTTCATACTTTAAGACTAGGAATTATTATGGCCTATTAAACTACTGTTTCGCAAAGTTTATCCGTCGACTCGGTCGTCTTCATTTCGATATTCTTCGTGATTTTCGATGAATCTCCGATGACGAATAAACGTAATGTTCGTTTTGTACATAAATATAATTATATGTAGATATATATATATATATATATATATATATATATATATATATATATATATGTACATTATATAAATATATACATATACAATAGGAAAGAGAAAACTGAAGGAAATGTTTCTTTCTTTGTTTTCTCTCTTCGTAAAAAAGAAAAAAAAAAAAAAAAAGAAAGAAAAGCAAAAAATAGCTCGTAAAATGAAAACGACCGAGTCGCCTTTAATCGTGAAACGAAAAGTGACTTTTTAGAGAAACTCGAGCACTCTTTTTGCGTACTATCGTGAAACGTATTGCGTGTAACGTCGCATTGATACTCGATATAATCTATTTCGAATTCGACTGAATCGACATAGGAGATAATATATACCCCCATATTTTTCTCGATGTTAAGCTTTTTCGCAGAGCGCATAGGAAAGTATGTACACGATTTAATGAGATTGGAAATGATCGAACGAACGAACGAACGAAAGAATGTACGAAAGGAAGAACGAAGAATTGATCGTAAAGATTATCGAAACAAATTGATGAGAATTCAAAAAGAAAAAAGGAAAAAAGGAAAAAAAAGGAAAGAAAGAGAGAAAAAAGGAGGGACGA